AAAAAAAAAAAAAAAGAAAAGAAAGAAAAAACCAGCCACAAAAGCCTGGCCATAGCCCTGGATGTTCCCCTGCCCTCAGGATGCCCAAGCGTCACCTGCGGTCTCCCCATCCCGTCCTGGTGCAGAGCTGGGAGCCCTGCCCCTGCGCGGGTCCCAGCAGCCCCCAGCCCTGCACACCCTCCCCCTCATGCCGCCCCACAGATCTTCCTGTTGCTGGTGGTCATGTCCACCGCCCTGGCCATGAGCTTCGGTCTCTGGATGAGAGAGTTCAAAGACAGGCACCACTACCTCTGGATCCTGTACCAGGGCGGTGTGGCCCTGGAGTCCTTCTTCATCTTCTGGGCCTTCCTCATCCTGCTGAGCGCCATGGTCCCACTGGCCATGTTCATCATGTGCGTCCCCTGCGGTCACACACCCCCCTCCAACAGAACCATGGGGAGGCCCCCGAGGGAGCAAGCCGGCAGTGGGCAGGGCTGGGGGCCTGAGCCCGCGTGCATTTGCAGGGCGGAGTTCATCTACCTGGGGAACAGCATCTTCATCAACTGGGACCAGGAGATGTACTACGCGCCGCTGGACGTGCCTGCCAAGGCGCGCAGCACCAGCCTCAACGACCAGCTGGGCCAGGTGGAGTACATCTTCTCGGACAAGACGGGCACACTCACGCAGAACATCCTGACCTTCAAGAAGTGCTGCATCGACGGCCACGTCTACGGTGGGGCCCGGGCAGCTCCGACCCTCTGCCAGGGTCCCCTCCTTCCCCGGGGCCGCCTGGGGGTCTGCGAGCCCTGACACCTCAGCAACCCTTGCTCTCTTCAAGGGGGGCCGGGTGCCCAAGGGCAGGGGCTGTAGGAACTCCTCCCCCCACTAGTGAGTCCCACAGAGCTGAGGCCTGAAAGGGGGTCTTTCCCCAGGTCCGGATTCAGAGAGCAGGACCCCCAAGGTAAGCCCTGCCCGCCCCGCGGTGCTGGACGCCGGGAGGGATGGGTGGCGACCTACCCACAGCTGGCCCATGCCCCCCCACCCCCAGGGGAACCCCTACCTGTGGAACCAGTTTGCTGATGGGAAGCTGCGTTTCCACAACGAGAAACTGCTACGCATCGTGCGAGCCAAGAGGGACAAGGTGGTGCGAGAGTTCTGGCGCGCGCTCGCCATCTGCCACACCGTCATGGTCCAGGAGAAAGACAGTGAGCGCGGCCGCCCCCGCCTCTCCTCCGGCTGGGAGGCCGCCCAGGTTCCTGGGGGTTCGAGGCGGTCCGGCCTCAGAGCTTTTTCACTGGGCTTAGAGCTGAGACCAGAGATGGCTTAGCGCTGGGATTGGAGGGAGAGTGTGTCATTGTCAGGGCGAAAGGGTGTCCCGGGCTGGGTTTGAGCCTGACGAGGTCATCTAGACTGGGACCCAAGCACTCACCTCCCTAGGTTGGGATTAGAGGTTGTGCAGGCCCAAGGGACCACTGTCCCAGAAATATCTGTTAGCACCCGCAGGCCCCGTGTCCACCCCCCCGCCGCGCCATGGAGATGGAGGGGCCCCGCCATGTGGCCCCAAAAGGGCCCACATGTGGCCGGCTCTCTGCAAACATGCGCCTCCCCCCGACCCCACTGGTCTCCTCCCCCGCCAGACCTGCCGGTGTACCAGGCGGCTTCCCCGGATGAGGAGGCGCTGGTCACGGCGGCCCGGAACTTTGGCTACGTGTTCCTGTCGCGCACCCAGGACACCATCACGCTCATGGAGCTGGGGGAGGAGCGGGTCTACCAGGTCCTGGCCATGATGGACTTCAACAGCACCCGCAAGCGCATGTCGGTGCTGGGTGAGCCTGGGCGGCCCAGCACCCCGCGTCCCAGGGTCGGGCTGGGCAGAAGAGGAGCGTGTATGGGCAGCTGGGCCTCTCTCTCCCCCGACAGTCCGAAACCCGGAGGGCACCATCTGCCTCTACACCAAGGGTGCCGACACGGTCATCTTGGAGCGCTTACACAGGAAACACAGCGCGAAGCTGAGCACAGAGGAGGCCTTGGCTGTGAGTCCCTGCGAGGAGGAAGGCTATTGTGTGTCTCTGTGTGTGCGCATGTGCATGTGCGTGTGGACAGGGTCAGGGCAGGGCCAGGGAGGAGAGGGTGCAGAGAAATGGCTCCAGGTACCTGGGGCAGCCATGGACAGTTGGGCAGGTTGTAAACTGCACAAAGCACCTCCTCCACCCTCTGCAACACACACACACAGAATGGGAGGGGGCTGAACTCCAAAGTGTACCTGCTCAAAGAAGGTGTCATCATTTCATTGACAAAAGGATACCCTGTAGTTGGGCTTTGGCCCTGGACATCACCCCCTCTCCCAGCCAAGCCTGGGTTCCAGGACACACTCGGCCCTCTCTGCCCCAAACCTTTCCTCCCTGTGGGTGAAGCCCAAACTCCCCAGATCAGCCTTCGAGGCTGTCTCATTCTGTCTCCTGCTGGCCTCTCCAGCTAGCTTGTCTCTCCTTGCCCCCCGAGGGGCTCCCGGGACCCCAATTTCTGGCTTGCAGTTTTCCCCATGCTCAGGCGACACATTGGGGCCTTTTCACGTGTTCTTCCCTCTGTGTAGAACGGCTGTCCAGGGCTTTGTCGCTCAAACCTCTTGGTCCTCAGCTCAGCCGCAAGGTGCCCACCTTCAGGGTGCCTCTCCTGCCCCAGCCTCCTAACCTGGGGCTGTCACCACCCCTGGGCTCCCTCCCTCTGGCCCAGCCCTGACTCTATAGGGCCAGAGGGGACAGGGGCCAGCGGGCAGGGAAGGGGAAGAATGCCGTGTGCCCCCTGACTTGGGGTCTCCTGGAGTGCCCTGCCCTGCCAGGGTGTGAGGGGAGCCAGGCGTCCAGTCTCTGGCCCAGAATCAGGAAAATGAGTCGGCGTGATGACCCAGAGCCTGGGAGCTCGGCAGCGTGGCTTGGCTCAATCACACTAGGGAGCGGATGGATAAACTGAGGCACTAGGAAGCGTTAAGTCCTGTAGGGAGCTCCCAATGCCCAGGAAACCCCTCTGTGGCATCCAGGCCCAACCTTTCCGGCCCACCCCCCATCAAGAAAAAAAGTAAGACCTGGGCCCCACCTTGGGGCAGAAAGCCTGGGCGGGAGGGACGTGAGGAGCCATGTGGGCACCTTCCTTGGGGCCACTGAGCCCTTAGGCCACCCTTGGGGTGAGCCCTGAAGGATCCGTCCCCAATCCCAGGGGACTCAACCCCGGCCCAGCCCTTGCAAAATGTGATAGATGGCTGGGTGCGGTGGCTCACACCTGTAATCCCAGCACTTTGGGAAGCTGAGGCGGGAGGATCGCTTGAGCTCAGGAGTTCAAGACCAGCCTGAGCAATATAGCAAGACCCCATCTCTACAAAAAATAGAAAAATTAGCCAGGCGTGATGGTGCTCACCTGTAGTCCCAGCTACTGGGAGGCTGAGGCAGAAGGATCACTTGAGCCCAGGAGTTGGAGGCTGCAGCGAGTTGTGATCATGCCACTGTGCTCCAGCCTGGGCGACAGAGCTAGAGAGTGGGGTACAGAGACTCCTCCTAAGCAGAGGGTCTAAGGGAGGGGCCCGGGGCCAGGGAAGCCCTGACTGTGGGGCGCCCGGAAGGTGGGCTGCACAGAGGGTCCTGAGGAACAGCTTGAGTTTGCCATGCAAAGTGCAGCACACATGTTCCTGGTGGGGGAAAGGCCTGGGAGCAACAGAGCTGAGCATGTCCAGGGCTGAGACGGAGGGGGTGGGGCAGAGGATCCCATGCTGGCTCTCTGAACCCCCTGGCTGCTGTGGGGACCTGGGGGGAGGGGGAAGGGTAGAGCATCAGGGGCGTGGGGAGGCCAGGTAGTGACAGGTCCTGCCCGGCTGGCCCCAGGCCTTTGCCAAGGAGACCCTGCGGACGCTGTGCCTGGCCTACAAGGAGGTGGATGAGGCCACGTACAAGAGGTGGCACCAGCGGCACCAGGAGGCCAGCGTCCTGCTGCAGAACCGGGCACAGGCCCTGCAGGAGGTGTACAACAAGATGGAGCAGAATCTCAAGGTGGGTGGACACATGGGGGGACTGGTGGGGTCCCCGGGGTCCCTCACCCCTGCCGGGGAGCTGGGTCCCTGCTCAGTCTCTCCCCCAGCCTCCCTCCATTGCTGCTCACCCCCACCAGCTGCTGGGAGCCACAGCCATTGAGGACAGACTCCAGGACGGCGTTCCTGACACCATCAAGTATCTCAAGAAGGCGAGCATCAAAATATGGGTGCTCACAGGGGACAAGCAAGGTGGGTCCCAGGGTGGCTCTGGGCGGCTGCTAGATCATGGAAAGGGGCAAACAGGAGTGATTAAAAACTCTGCAATGTTCAGGGTGCCTCCCGGGGCCCAAGGCTGTTGTAGAGCACCCGTTGAGAGTTTCATCCTCACAGCAACCCTGCAAGGTGGGGCCCTCATTACTCCAGTGCAACAGATGAGCCCAGCAGGGCATAGAGAGCTTGGGGCACTGCCAGAAGCTGGGATTGGAACCTCTGGTCCTGTGACCCTGCAGCCCTAACTCTCCTCTGCCGTGGAACGCAAGGCCCCACCTATACATTCTCTGGGATCCCGCCAGGCATCTCGGAGAAAATGGCAGGTGCCAGCAGGGCCACATTAGGGCTTTTGTGGGGCCAAGGCATTTTTGCCTTCGTGTGTTCCCTGGTCCCCCACCCCCCCCCACACACAGATACTAACAATACCATTTTCTGACTCTAATAAAGACTAATATCCAGGCTGAATTATATTCACTACTTTTTCCTTCTGATTTTAAAAGAAAATGAAAACATTTCCATAAGTCCAAGCCATGATATGCCCAATGATCCTGGCCTCAGACTCCTATCCCTCAGCAGCCCCCCAGGGGAGAGGGAGCAGCCCTTTTGCTTAGAGCTGCAGCCAAAGTCTCAGGGCTGGCTCTCATTGGCCAGCCTGGGTGACATGCTCCTCTCTAAGCCAATCACCATGGCTGGGGTTGGGGTGTGCTGCTGCGATTGGCTGGACCACGCAGGCACTGACCTGGCTGGTTTACAGAGACAGCAGTGAACATTGGCTTTGCCTGCCAGCTGCTGTCGGACAACATCCATATCCTGGAGGAGAAGGAGATAGTGTAAGAAGCTGGGGTAGGGGTGGGCGAGCGGAGTCGGGGGCAAGGACCTTGGGGGCGCCCAGGGGTCTGCAGAGCACCCTCCACTTCCGCCTGGCCAGGCTCGCAGAAGGCCTCTCTGCTTCTGCCCAGAGCCCCTTGTTGGAGGGGGACCCCAAGGTGCCTCGGGGTGGGGAGGCTGGGCAGAAGGGAGGTGGTGCCCTGGGGACTGGCTGACCCTCCCCCCGTCCCCGGGCACCCGCAGCCACATCCTGGAAGCCTGCTCCAAGTGCAGCAGCAACCCGCTGACCAAGAAGGGCTTTCCAAAGTTCCCGCCACACATCAAGTTGGCCATGGTCATTGATGGGGACTTCCTGGTCAGTCTGAGCTTGGGGTGGACAGCGGGGTCCCCAGTGTCCAGGAGAGGCATGGGAGGAGCGGCTGGCTGGGGGTGGGGGGCCTCCCTAAGCGTGGGAGGAGGACTATTAGGAAGATCAAGGTTGCAGGGCCTCGAATAACAACCCGGAGAGACTGAACTCAGAGGGGAAAGAGTGAGGGAGAGATGCAGTCAAGCTGGGCTCAGGGAAGTGGTGGGAGGCTGGCCTGGGGGGCGGGGACAGAGCGGGGTCTCTCAGAATGACACAGCCTCCGTGCCCCCCCGGCCAGGACAAGCTGCTGCTGTCCCTGCGCAAGGAGCCGCGGGCCTTGATCCAGAATGTGGAGGCAGACGACTCCCGGCAAGAGCCCTGGGAGGCTGTGAGGGACTTCCTGCGGGCCCGGGGCCTATCCATGCTGTGGCAGAACTTCGGCGTCCAGCAGACCCCGACGAAGTCCAAGGACTCGAAAACCAGAGAAAGCCCTGAGGTGCAGCGTGAGCGGGCCTTCGTGGACCTGGCCTCACGGTGCCAGGCCGTCATCTGCTGCCGGGTGACACCCAAGCAGAAGGCCTTGATTGTGGCCCTGGTCAAGAAATACCATCAAGTGGTGACCCTGGCCATCGGGGATGGTGCCAATGATGTCAACATGATCAAGAGTGGGTGGCAGGTGGCTGGGCTGGGGGAGGCCGGGGCAGCCTCCCTGGGGGTTGGCCGGGGACTGAGCGTCCCTGTGTGTGCCCCGCAGCGGCAGACATCGGCGTGGGGCTGGCAGGGCAAGAGGGCATGCAGGCGGTGCAGAACAGCGACTTCGCACTGGGCCAGTTCTGCTTCCTGCAGCGGCTGCTGCTGGTGCACGGACGCTGGTCCTACATGCGGGTCTGCAAGTTCCTGCGCTACTTCATCTACAAGACGCTGGCCATCACGATGACTCAGATCTGGTTTGCTTTCTACAACGGCTTCAGCGCCCAGGTGAGCTGGCCCAGCCACGGCTGCCCCACTCGGGGTCCGTGGGGAACAGCCCCGCGGGAGTGCCATGTCCCTCCCGTGGCCACACCCAGCCACAGATATTCATTTTACTCTTATTTCTGTTGGTCAGATTGTCTCAGATTTGTTCTCTCAGCGTCTACCTGCTATTCTCTGAACACAGCTATACTTTCTGGGGCCACCAGAGGTTCCACGCTCACGTTGCACTTCCCTGCCCCAGCCCTGGACTCACTTACGGAGCCCAGGTTCTCGTCACTGGAGAGTGGTGGTTAGACACCCAGGTCTGAGTGCCTGGTGTGCTCAGTGCTACAATGTTACCTCTCCTGTAAGCAGAGCCAAGAAATATATAGCTCTGTGCTGAATGCTGCAGGCAGCCATAGCACAATGGCAAATATTTGTGCATCTAAACACAGAAAATGTAGAGCAAAAATATGTTTTCCTAATCTTATGGGATCCTATGGGACCACCATCGTTATGTTTTGTGTCTGTCTAATCTGTCATCTATATGTCTATGTGTATATCTCTCTATTATTATATATATATTTTTAGAGACAGGGTCTCACTCTGTCACCCAGGCTGGAGTGCAGTAGTGCAATCACAGCTCACTGCAGCCTCCAACTCCTGGGCTCAAGCGATCCTCCTGCCTCAGCCTCCCAAGTATCTGGGACTCCAGGGCTGGGCTAAGCCTTCTCCATGTACTCACTTGTAGCTGTTTTCTTCAACAGTGAGAGGCTTGATTCTTGTTATCTACAATATCTTTACTTATTTGCTAACCCTAGAATGCACATAAAGTGATTTTTGAATTGAGATACATATTTTTATTATTATTATTTCTTTAGTTCACACAGAACTGTGGTTCAGAAGTAATTTCTTTTTTTAAACTGGACTGGATCTGTGCACTGGAAGGGCAGTTGAGCTAGTCGGCCTTGGGTCTTTTCCAACTTGATTCTAAATATTGGAAAAGGGCCGGGCGCGGTGGCTCACGCCTGTAATCCCAGCACTCTGGGAGGCTGAGGCAGGCAGATCATTTGAGCTCAGGAGTTCAAGACCAGCCTGAGCAAGAGCGAGACCCCGTCTCTACTAAAAATAGAAAAATTAGCTGAGTGTGGTGGCGGCTATCATTCCTTCTGCAGCTCTTTCTTGAAGTCATCCAATGAAAACAAAAATTCACAGGTGCCATTTGGAAAGCATTAGCCAAAGCTCTTTTCTCTCTGCCTTTTGTCTTCCAGCCTTTGTCAAGCGTCACTTAACCCAACCCGGGTCTTAGCCCCAGCCCTGATTGTAAGGCAACTCCCTAACTCACCTGGGATCCTCCCCGGGTGCCCGGCCAGTGCAGTGGGGCTCCCTGGGCAGCTGCAGGCTGACTCTGTTTCCCTCCTTCTCTGCAACTTAGCCCCTGTATGAAGGCTGGTTCCTGGCCCTTTTCAACCTCTTGTACACCACCCTCCCATGCCTCTACGTCGGGCTGTTCGAGCAGGTGAGCAGGTGGAGGTCTGGCCTCCCTCTGGGCTGGCCCTCCCCCTCTGTGCTCAGCCTCTCTGCCCTGGGGGCTGGGGACAGGGGTTGGGGGGTACCGCGTACACCTCTCCCCACCCACTGCCATGCACCTGCTCCCACCAGAGCTCAGTCCCATCGTGGGGTGGGTAGAAGGCGGCCTCTCACCAGCCCCTTTCTTTGGGATGTGCCCCTGCCAGCCCCCAAGCCCCAGTGCCTCTGTCTGCCCATCTGTGCAATGGGGAGAGGGCATTAGAAAAGACAGTCCTTGGCGGGGCGTGGTGGCTCATGCCTGTAATCTCAGTCCTTTGGGAGGCTGAGGCGGGAGGATCACTTGAGCCCGGGAGTTGGAGGCTGCAGTGAGCTGTAATGACACCACTGTACTCCAGCCTGGGTGACAGAGTGAGACCCTGTCTCTATTTCCCCCCACCAAGAAAAGAAGACATGGTCCTCCTATGTTTGTCCCCCCTCCCAGCCCTGAGAGGCCCCAGCTAAGTGATCTGGAGTGTGAAGGGGAGGGGGGTCCTGTAGAATGTTCCAGAAGACAGAACCGTTCCACCCCTACACAGTCCAGTCCAGAAGCTAATGACCACATGTGGCCAGTAAGGAGACCCTGCTGCTGGCGTGGCAGAGGAACCAGATTTTACATGTCATCTCATGTTTTCTAGAGCCCTAAACTGTGGTGGGACAATAGCACACCGCCACCGTCTCAGCCGTCCCACGTACACTGCCGAGCAGTGCCCACCCCTCTCCCGAACTCTTGGCGTTTCGTTTTATTTTCATCCACATGAACTCAGACCTCTGGGGGGCCCCCAACCCCCCCCAGGATGTGAGCGCCCAGCAGAGTCTGCAGATGCCCAAGCTGTACGTGGCGGGGCTGAAGGGCGAGCTCTTCAACTACTGGGTCTTCCTTCAAGCCATCGCTCACGGCACGGCCACCTCCCTGGTCAACTTCTTCATGACCCTGTGGATCAGCTGGGACACCGCAGGACCCTGCAGCTTCAGTGACTACCAGTCCTTCGTGGTGGTTGTGGCCCTGTCTGGGCTGTTGTGCATCACCATGGAGGTGGGCAGGGTCCCCACACCGAGGGTGGGGTCCTGGGCCACTGGCCATTGAGGCCTCCTCCCCAGGTGCCCTTCCTGGACCCCAGGGGCTTCATGTCCTGGCCCGGCTTCCTCCCAGCCCTGGGGTCCCCGGACCCCCCGCTGAGCGCTCCCTCTTGGCCCAGGTCATCCTGATCGTCAAGTACTGGACCGTGCTGTTCGTGGTGGCCATCGTCCTCAGCCTCAGCTTCTACGGGGTCATGACTTACGTCACCCAGAGCTATGGGCTCTACCAAATCTCCCCAAAGACCTTCTCGTTTCTGTGTGAGCCCCCAAGCATGGGGGTGGAGATGAGGAGGTCCTGACATGGGTGACCCTGGCCATGCAGAAGGCAGATTGATCACAGAAGTCAGTGGCCCAGCAAAGCATCCATGGGGGGAGGGGCTCCTTTCTTGGAACTGGTGCATCTCAGTCTGGGGGTGTCCACAGGGGGGCTGAGGGGATGAGAAGACTCTGTTGTGACCCCACTCCATCCCCAGATGCTGACCACAACATGCTGTCCTGCCCCTCCACCATGTTGGTCATCCTCTCAAATGTCACCCTGAACACCCTGCCTGTCCTGGCCCTCCGGATGATCTGCCAAACCCTCAAGAAGCCATACCCCAAGGTGAGGCAGGGCTGGGGCTGGGGTCCCAACACCCTGAATGTTCCCAGGACCCCATCACGGGGAAACCCAATGCTGGAAACAGGGACTCTAAGGTGTCTCGGCCCCTCCCGGCCCTCGGAGGTGTGGGGCTGGGGGAGAAGGTGGGCACGGAGTCCCCCACACACCCTTGGCGGGGCGCCGGATGCCCCAGGGAAAGCAACAGGGTGCACCCAGCAGACTGACACAAATGATTTAAAGCTTAGGGGTTGAGGTGACAGAAAGGGCAGAAGGGGGAACTTAGAAACAACCCAAGTGTCCATCGATGATGGATGAATAGATAACACTACGTGGTCCATCCATGCACTGGAATATCACTCAGCCACGAAAAGGGATGAGGCTCTGACACAGGCCACAGCATGGATGGACCTTGAGGATGTCATACTCCGTGAGAGATGCCAGACACAAATTGACAAATGCTGTATAATTCCACTTTTAGGAGGTCCCCAGAGGTGTCAAAATCACAGAGACAGAAAGTAGAATGGTGGGTGCCAGGGGCCTGAGAGGGGGACACAGAGTTAGTGTTTCCTGGGGACAGAGCATCAGTTTGGGAGAATGAGAAAGTTCTAGAGATGGAAGGTGGTGATGGTCGCCAAACAGTGTGAATGTGCTTAATGCCACTGAGCTGCAGTGTACACTAAAAAGTGCTTAAGATGGTCAATTTTATGTTATGTATATTTTACTGCAATAAAAATAGTGGAATTTAGCAGCTCCTGGAAACACGGAAAGACATGGAAAAGGAGGTTGCACTGGGTTGGGCCCCAGAATTGACTGGAGCAGTGGACCAGGACATGCCACAGACCTGTCACCCAATTCTCCCTGCTCGTCTCCTGCCACCTTCTACTGCACAGGCTGGACACATGGCTATCCCAGATTCACCTCTCTTGGTTTTGCTACCAGAAGGCACCCAAGGCATCTGGTGGCTGGTTCAGAGTTAGGTCTCAGGGAAGGACTCTGATTGGCTGGTGCAGAGTTAAGTCTCAGGGAAGGACTCTGATTGGCTGTTCCAGAGTTAAATCCCAGGGCAAGCCTGATTAGCTGATCCAGAGTCAATTCCAGGGAGGACTCTAACTGGCTCACCTTGGGTAGGGAAGAACCTGGCCAATCAATGGTAGCCAAGGGCTCTGCATCGGCCCCCACTCGTGGGCAGGTGACCTGAAACCAATCAACAAAGTTTGGGAGCCTGGTGACCCTGCTTTCCCCCTTTGCTTTGCAGGAGGAGGCGGAGGAAGAGGCCCCAACTGAAGAAATTTTCACCGTGGAGCCCATACCCCATTTACATCGGGGGTCATGTGGTCGGCGTTCCAGCTATGCCTTCTCTCACTATGAGGGCTATGCAGACCTCATTACTCAGGGCACAATTCTGCAGAGGCCACAAGAGGTCAGCAGTGAGTTGGAATCTGATTCCCCAGTCACATCTGAAGAAGAACTGCTCTTGAGGCCAAATAGCTCATGCTGGCATTTCAGGAAGTTGTCCCTGGGGAGGCTGAGACACCACCAGGGGGAGGTGTCCTTCGAGGAGATGAAGCCCTCTTCTGCAATGAGCTCATCCTCGTCTGTAGACAGGCAATCCGCTGTTAATTCAGACAACCAAGGTTCTCCCACAAAAAAGTTGCCCGCCGCCATGAACAGGGCATCTGGGTCTTTCCAGAAGTTGCAGATGGTAAAGAAGAGGCCACTCTCACCCAAGCAGAGGCCACCTCTTCCTGAGAATCTGCTGTCAACCAAGGAGGGGTCAGTTCCTCTTCCGAAGGAGCGAGCACTGCCCAAAAAACACCAGCTGTCCCTTCCGGAGAGTCAGCCACAACCTTCGGCAACCAAGCCGTTGCCTTTGGGCCAGACGCTTTGGGGCAGCCAGACTGAATCCTCAGAGGAGAAGCTGTCACCTGTGAGTACTTCAGTACCGTTGGGGGAGAGCCAGCCATACATCTCACCAAAGGAGCCCCATGCCTCCAAGGAGGGGACAGTGGTGGAAACTCTGCCAGGTACAGAAGAGTCATCTTTGTAGGAGCAGCCTATGGAGGTAGAGCCCTGGCCCACGGAGAGGCAGCCATCACTGACAGAGTGGCAGCCAGCGCCCAGCGAGGACCAGTGTCTACCTGAGTTGGTGGAGGGGCCACCTCTGCCCCCAGAGGAGCATTCATTGCCAGCAGGAGGCCTTCCTCCGATGATAAGGACACCACATCCTTTTCTTTTTCTAATAAAACAGGGTGCATCTGACCCCGGGGCTTGGTTAGGCTCACTCTGTTCCTACACTTCTTTTTGTGAAGCCACATGAAATAGTCAGTCTTTCCTGGTTTTTTAGATTAGAACACTGGCCCCTAGTGGCCCATAGGGTATTTGCAGGGAAAGCTTTTTTCTTCTTTGCTCTGGGGTAGATCACGAGGGTGAGCTTCATTGCTCCCAAAAGGGAGAAAGGTATGAACAGACTCTGCTTAATAGTCTTGGCCCCTGCCACTGCCTGCCGGCTGGCCCCTCCCCCAAAAGTTTATAAACTCCAATTCTGGCACCATCTAGCCTCTTCCTCCACCAGGCTGCCCTGGTCTCTTCCCTTCAAATAAAGCTCCTTTCACTTTAGACTCCAGAAAGCAGTGGGCAATGACCAGGTCTTCAGAAGCAGGTCCTGACAAGGTCTGCATCTTTGGGCATGGTTGACTCAAAGGCCCCAAGCTTTTCCAGTCCTTAACTGTTCCTGGTGGAGGGTGGAACAGTGTGTGGGCGTGGGGGCTCAGGGCAGGCCTGCAGCCAAGGAAGAGGGTGGGGTTCAGAGCTGAGAGGGGCACATGGGTGGGGGCAGAGTCCCTCTTCCCTCCCCTGCCAGCCTTGTGGTGGGCAGGCCCCCTTCCTCTCTCCCCACCCCCGCACTTGTCCCCAGTTGGCCAACACAGATGCCCGGGTAGGTGACTAGAAAATAATTTATTGAAGAAAAACAAAACAACAAATCCAGCACAGCAATGGTTAACAATGACTTTTTTTTTTTTTAACTTTTAAGCCTGTCGCCTGAGGGTGAGGGTGGAGAGGGTGTTCCTTCCCTCAAGCACTGGGGGACAGGGGACTTTGGGTGATCCAAATAGCCTCTCCCCAGAAAGCAGCTATAATTTCCAGGCTTTATGGAAAACACCCAGGGCCACCTGGCCTCCCGGCCCCTGTCACACCTGGCTGAGATAATCCTACCAAAAATAGCCCTTGCGGGGGAGAGCACGTGATAGGACCACAAGGAGGTGCCCCCGGAGCGTGAGGGCATAGCTTTGGTTAAGCCTTTCTGGGCAGAGGATGTGAGATGGCCCAAGTTCCAGCTGGTGCAGGGCTGGGTGCAGGGCGCACCCCTGCCCCGCCATCGTTTCACATCTGTTGAGCCCCCAGCCCCAGGCAGACTGGGGCCTCCTGTCTCACAGGGTGTGAAGCCCCCCTTTGGCTACTCGACCCCGCTACTCAGGACCCTCCTTCCTCTCTGCAGTCTGATCCCCGCAGCCTTTGGCCTCTGGGGAAGGACGCACAGGGAACCCCAAGCCAGCTTGTCCACCTTCTGTACCACCTCCGGGGACTGTCTGGGGGTGGCTTGGAGACCTGGCCTCCTGGCAAAAGCAGAGTCACGGGCAGAGACATTGCCCCAGAGCCCACTTTCCTCATTTGGTGGGGGTGGCCCTCTGTCCTCTAAGGTCCCGAAGTGGGCTGGGAGGGAGGGTCTGTACAGGTGCGCATCCCTACCCTCCTAGGCTGGACAGAAAGGCGGACCTGCGCCCAACCCTGGGTCCAGGGTGCTGAGGGTGTCTGGGTGGGGATGGTCAGGAAGTCGGGTCTCAGCCCAGCCCCTCCCCAGGCAACAAGCCTCGGATGATCCGATTGTCTCCCTCCTCTGAACAAGACACTTGGGGATTCATGCTAAAGTGAAGCCAACCAGGCGGCGGAGTGGGGGATGTCCCAGGATGGGGATGGCACCGAGGGCACCCAGGAACAGGGGCTGGGGGCAGGTGGCAGTCCCTGCCTGGCCAGCCGCTGCAGGCAGGTGGGAGGCATCTGGAGGGCTGGGAGGTGGAGGACACCCTGGTGCCCCCGTCCTGCTGGCCACCTGCCCCCACCTTCCTGTCTACCTGGGCCCCCCCCTCCATCAGCTGGACAGGGTTCCTCAGAAAGCAAGAAAGCAACAGACAGCAACGCAAAGCACCATGGAACAGCACCACCTCGGGCATGAGACACAAGGATGCGACACATGGAATCCTGGGGCCGCCGCCCACCAGCCCCGTCCCCGCCCCCCAACCACCCGTTACATTAGCGTCAGGAAAGAGTACATTAGTCATGCACCAAATCAAATCCCATCGCGTCTTTTTTTTTCTTTTTTCTTCCTTTTTTTTCTTAAATTACATTTGAACACAGAACACATAGAATAATAAATAAATACTCTTTAAGACATGACTTCAAAAACCAAGAAAACTGAACAAGCCAGAGAACAGAAAAGTAACCCTCTCTTTCCCTCTCTCTCTCCCCCTCTCTCTCTTTCCTAAAGGACTCGTTTAAATAAGAAATCTGTAAACGCCGCCAGTCCTCCCTCTCAATCTCTCGCCACCACGCTCCCTCCTGACTCCTGCCCGGGCCACCAGCGCTCAGCTCCCGCCGCCCTGACATTCAATACGTCTCTCCCGCGGGACTCGTCAAACACATGACATGCCAGCGTCTGCAAAATTATAATTTAACGGTATAAAGCTTCAAGTCACGTATTCCAAAAACTAGCTAAGGATTTTTCTTTTAAATCACATAAACTATACATTAAATATTTTGAGGTATTTCAGAGAAAATTGTCAAAGGCTCAAAGGAGTTGTGCTGGAGGTACTGTTCCCAGTGTGGAAAATGCTCTTTGGTATGTGACAACCGACTGGGACTGGGGGAGGCGGGGTGGAGCAGGGGGCAAGTTGGGGTGACAGCCCGCTGGGGGGCTGGGGGGTAAACAGGGGCTCGTATGTGTGTGCGTGTGTGTGTGTGTGTGTGTGTGTGTGTGTGTGCACGTGTGTGGTGTGACATGAAGGGGTTTGAATAGGATCCAGGAGTTCTGGGCTTTGACATTGGGGCTTGGTCCAACCTGACCACAATTCATCATAACTAGAATGTTCCACATCCAAAAGGATCCCGAGCTTACTCTTTCCTAGCAGGGGACAAAACAGGAGGCCCCGCCCACCTGACCCTTGGGCCTTGCAGGCCAGAGACCTGCCAGGGACTCGCCCAGCAGAGGGCACCAGGGAAACCCCGTCCCCCACTGGCCACTGCCAGGTGGCCCAAGACCCCCCAGCATGGATTTCCTGAGGAGTTCGTGGGGCCGGGGCCACAGCGGGACCCCCCTGGACCTGATGCACCTCATTGCCTTTGAGGGTCCCTTCCTCCACGAAGTGCATACATAGACCACACTGGCATGGAGACAAATATATTAATACGGTATATAAAAGTTTTCTGCCACCTGAAAGTTGTTTTTTCACACCCCCTACTTCTGATATTGAAAGAAATTAAAATGTTTTCATGGGCCCGGGCCTGCTGGGCCCAGAGGATATGGCCGGTGGGCAGGAGCGCACCTGATCCACGTCGGGAACTCGGGGGGTGGGGACGGAGCACGACTGGGCCCAGGTTTTAGTGGGCGGTGGGAGGAAGGAGCCTCTTAGAATCAAGCGCCCAGGGACACCACGAAAGGAACGGGATCCAGTGTGTGTGCGTGTGTCTGTGTGTACCTGCATGTGTGTGCATATGTGTGCCTGCATGTGTACATGTGTGTGGCTGCATGTGTGTGCATGTGTGCATGTATGTACCTACGTGTGTGCATTGCATGTCTGCATGTGTATGTATGCGTGCGCCTTCATGTCTGTGTCTGTGTGTGTGTTGGGGAGAGGGGTTCATTGCTGAGCAAGAATGGGGACCCTTTTTACTTTTAGGATTCTGCCCCAACACCCAAAGGTTCTAGAAGCATCACTCAGATCCAGTTGCTTAAAAAGCAGGGAGAATAGCGAGTCGATAAGGACAAGAGAACACTCCATACATATCTTTGGTTCAAGAAGAAGGCACTCACCGACCTCACTATCCTCTCCCTCTCTCTCTCTCCCTCTCTCTCTCTCCCTCTCTCTCCCTCTCTCTCTCTTTCTCTCTCTCATTCTCTCTGGTGGGGAAGGGGCAGCCCCTGAGGGCAGGCCCAAGCCGGTCCCACCGCCACCAGGGAAGCGTAGCAACCAGCGCTAGTCCTTGGGGGAAATCTTTGGTATCAGGCGTGATTTTTCCAATCACAGACGTGAACGTTTGAGTGAGGTAGCCTTTACCTGGGGGAGGGGGAGGGCATTTCACTAGAAATGTCTTTTGCATTCTCGGGGGAGTAGGCAGGTGGCCCCCTCCCTGCGAGGAGCCGCGGGTCCGGTGAGGCCGCGAGGAGAGTGGGGTTTCCTCCCAGCCTGGGGTCTTGAACCCCGGGAGGCGGCGCTCGGGAGTCTTGGAGGTCACCCCGACGGGCGGGGCGGGGAGCTCGTCCTCGTGTCCGCCCTTCCCCCTTGTCAATATTTTTCTTTTTTTGGCAAAAAAATGGAGCAAGCAGATTCCACCTTCCTCAGCATCGTCGGAGACGTCCAGGTTCGGCCGCTGCCCCTCCAGGCCCCGGGCGCGGGGGCGGCGGATTCCAGGGGCTCCAAGCGGCTGCGTGTCCCGGGGCCTCCTCGGGTCCCGTCCGGGTGGGATCTGGACGTCGCCTTCCGTCTCCTGGGCTGTCTGTCCCTGTGTGGTTCATCAAGGTGCCTAAAGGTAAAGTGAACTAGAGAGGGGTGCCGGGGGCGTCTGGAAGTTACCCGCATGTCGGAGCCCGCCGGCCCCTCGCCCGGGAGGGCTGGGAGGGGCGCGCCGTGGGTGCCGGCCCGCCGGGCCTCCCCGGGCTTAAGGCAGGCGATTCTTGGCACAGGAGTCCCGGGGGCAGGCGCGGCGCGGTCCTCGGGGTGGGGCCGTCCTGCCCGCGGGCGGAGGGGGCGGGGCGGGACACGGGAGGGTCCACTTGGGTGGGTTTTGGCGACTCTGCAAGGGGCTGGGTGGCGGGACCACAGGGCACCTGCTCCCCGGGAGGGAAGGAGGAAAGGAAGGGTTTTCCTGCCTCCCTCTTTGGGGCGGGGAGCTTCTGGCGAAGGAGGGGTTAGTTATTCTTAAAATTCCTTTTTTTAAATACCCGGTTTATATTTCTAGAATGTGCTTCTTGACCCGCTTTAGGGGACCACACAGCGAGCCCCCTGGGCGTCCTGAACTGAGAGGGGGTGCTGCGGGACCCCTTTCTGTGTCCCCCTCCCCCCTGGGGGAGCAGGAGGGCTTCCTTTGGCCTGGCGGGGGCTGGAATGCAGGGAGGAGGGGGCCCGTTTTGTGCACGTGGGCTGGGGGGTGTGCTGCGTCTCCCCCGCGACAGCACCCCGTCCGCGCGCCCCCGGGGGCGGGTCTCCGGCGGGCAGGGGCGGGCGGGGGACGCGGGGACGGAGCGCCCGGGCCGTCGAGGCGCAGAGGGCGCGGGGCCGGGGGCGCCTCAGGCCTTGGAGAAGGTGGAGGCGGCGCCCGCCGGGCCCCCGGGGGCCGCGCCCGGCTCCTCGGCCCAGCGGTTCACGCAGCGGCGCCGCGCGTTCATGAAGAAGTTGCTGACGGTGTTCAGCTCCAGGCCGAGCTGCTGCGAGATGGTGACCTGCATCTCCTTGGACGGCCGCTTGTTCTCCTTGAAGATGGCGATGAGCGTGCGGCGCTGCAGGTCGGTGAACACCAGGCGCTGCTTCTTGGGCTGCAGCGCGCGCTCCTTCTGCTGCTCCTGCTCCTTGCGCTTGCAGGCTGCGGGCGGGCGCGACGCGGCGCACCACAGCGCGGGACGCGGGCGACGGGCAGGCAGCAGGCAGCGCGCGGGCAGGAGGGAGACGGGGACAGCACGCAGCCACGAGCAGAGCGGGACGGGTGAGACGCCAGGAAAGGCAGGGACGCAGGGAAACGCGGACAGGGGAGGGAGGGACAGCGGGCGACAGAGCGACAGGGAGACAGAGACACACAGGGCAGAAGGGACGGGAAACAGTGAGGAAGGGAGACAGCGGGGAAATGGAAGGCGAGGGGGGCAGGCAGGCACGGGGTGGGGGGGGACAGAGAAGGGGACACAGTAAGCGCACTTCTGCAGGCACTGCCACCACCCCCTCCAGTCCCTTCCCCATGGTGCCTGTCCCAGGCGCCTCCTCCCCAGCCCCATAGCCCCAAACCCCTCACCCCGCCCCCCACCTAAGGGCTTCCCATCCAAAGGGCAACAAAAATTGGTGTTGGTCCCTTTCTCCCCTTCTTTCCCAGGTTGGGGAAAGGGCATGGAACCTCTATAGGTGAGTTATCTCTGGCTCAGCGGAGCCTTAGGTGAAAGAAATGGTTAATTGATAAGTGCCGGGGTGCATTGCAAACCCCAGCCACCCCCTCCTGCAAGGATGGGGCAATCAGGTTGCCTCCTCCCCTGGGCTGTCCCTGCAAGGCCTGGGGACTGAACTTAGGGACCCGGTACCAGGCTGACACTGGAGTCTGAGTCCCCTCCCCCAGCCTCAGGCTGAGAACCACCTGAGCTTGGTCTCCCTCTAGCACACAGGGGACCCTCTGGATCTGAGAGGATCCAGGACTTTGGAGGAGGAGGTGACAGTGCAGAGACCACCCCTTCCTCCCCCAGGGGAGCAGGTCGCCTTTTCTCTCTGGCCACCCAGCATAGAGCAGGCGGCAGAGGTTGCACCACAGTCTGAGATGCTTGCAGAGCAAAACAGCAACAGCTGAGAGTGATGCCGCAGGGCTGACACCTGTATCCTCCCTGCCCCAGCTGCAAAGCAGACACCTCCCCGCAATGCAGTGTGGGGGGTAGTGGGTGCAAAAGATGCACTGCTCCTACCTAGGGGATGGGCCACCAGTCAGGTGGGATACTTTGTGGCATCAGCTTGAATACGATCAGAATCTCAATTTCTTTCCTGCATACCAGTCTGGGCCTGGGGGCGGGTGGAAATTCTGCCCCACTCTGCCTCCTCCTGGGCCCCAGAAGTGGCCAGTGGCGCATGCTGTCCTAGCAGGTCTCTGCTCCCTGTCCCTCCTCTGTGCCAGCCCTGGTGGCCTACTGGGATGGCACAGCAAGCTTGCTTTTTTTTGGTTCCGGAACAGCCAGAACAGATGACATGTTAGATCAATGTCCACAAAAATAAATGAATGTTCCCTGTGTGGTGACTCATGTCTCGGGGACAACAGGTTCTCCCATCCAGTGTGTGAGCTGACATACACTTCACTTCCTCTGACCTGGGATGGGCAGAGCTTCTAACTGCTGTTTCAGGTTTCAGGATTAAATCCGATGATGGCTGGAGCTATTGGACATTTTAGAAAAGCATCTAACATGGGAATAAACGCAGGAGAAACTGACAAAACAGGCTATAATTATAAAGCTATAAATAATATTCCCTGGGGTAAGAGGATAGGAGGTAAATATTGTATCCATGAAACAAGTACAGAATGCTGTGAAATAAAAGACATCATTAAAGAGTGAGAAAATATTCTTATAATTTAAATATATAATAGTTGGAATAAAATTATTCAATGTAAGGATTGGAAGACAAAGTTAAGCAAATATCTGAGAAAATAGACCAGGGTAGAAGCGGAGGTGGCCAATGAGAGAAAGATGTTAATAGAGTTAGAGAATGAATTAAAATGAAGGAGGTTTGTCATCTGATCAAAAGGCAATTCGAAAGTAGAGGAAGAGATCATCAAATAAATAATAAAAAAATCTAGAGCTGAAGGACAGAAGGTTCCAGTTTAAAAGAGCCCATCAAGTCCTCAGCTCAATGCATGAAAAAGGCACATTTGAGCCTCCTCCATGTGAAATGTTGGAGCACCAGGAATAAAAGGAAAATCCTAAAAAGCTTCCAGAGATGAAAGCCAGAAGTCATATCAAATATTGAGAATCAGAACAGCTTTGGGTTTCTGAAAAGCGAGGAGGCAGTGAAGAATGCTTTCAAAATTCCAGGGAAAAAGTCTCTTCAGCTAGAATTGCCAAATATCCAAACATCGATCATGAAGGTGCAATAAAGATATAGTCAGACGTTCAAGGATTCCAAAAGTTGACATTCCGTATGCCCTTTCTCAGAAAGCTACTGGAGGATGTGTTCCATCCAAATGAGGAGGTAAATAAAAAAAAGGAGGGGAGAGTGTAGGATTCAGGAAATGGGATCCAACCTAGGAAAAAGAGAAAAAGGGTCCCCTAAATGATGAGGAGGGGGGGACCCTGGCAGACAGTTAGAACAAAGCAGCTGTGACATGTGGAAAATCCTATTGAATTGGTTTTGCATTTTTGTTGCAGAATGTGGAAGGAATTTATGTTTGGCAACTGTTAACTCCCGGAAAATCAAACAGTTGCACAAGAAAGGAAATGTAATCCTAGTACTCTACATGGCTCAGCTGTGGATGCTCCTCACTGAAAAACCACAATAAGAGTAATTACTGAATATTGATTTAGGCAAAAGACTATATTTGTAACTACATTGAGAAGCTGATGGAAGGGGAGGGTGTAGGTACAGACGTAGAAAGGTGGCAAAGCAAACCCCAGAAGACACTGTGCCAGGTAGCCTTTTGTGTATGAAAGGAGAGGGAAGAACGTACGTTTGTATTTTATCCGCATAAAAAAACACTGGAAGGAGATATGAGAAGCTGATAGACCTCTCACCTCTTTGGCCACCTGGGAGGGGATCACCTCACCTGTTGTAATCTTCGGTTCATTCATTCACTCATTCATTCATTCACTTAGTAATTTTCTCCCAACTCATCCTACCTTTACAGTAGGGGCAGAAACACAAATGCTCCTCAGAAAGCTCAGGAGTTCTTTGTGTCAAGAGCCTCTCATGTATCCTACCCTTCAATCCTCACAATGCTTCCATAAAGAGGAGATTTTTCTCTTTATTTACTTTATTCTCTTTATTTACTCAGAGAGGGTAAGCCACCTGCCCAAGGTTGCCCAGCAAGTCCCCTCAGGGGCAGGACAGGAACCAGAGGGGAGATGTAGGTCGCCCCCATCCTACCTCCCAGTCCCCAATCAAGTGCCCAATGGGGGCCCCGGAGGCAGAGGCTGGGGGAGGGGCCGGGCGAAGCAGAGTCGTGAAAAAACTTCGCGTTTTGTCGATCGCAGCAAAAAGAGGCTGGGCTCGCCCCCCTCCCTGGCGTTCAATCTAATTACAGCTCCTCGCAGCCGGATCGATCCGGGCTGTTTACCGCGAGCAGCTTTGTCATCGCCCATCCCCCACAGCCCGGCGGGGGTGGGAGCGGAGTGGGGGGAGGCGCCGCCCCAGCGCCCACCCCCAGCGCGCCCCGCCTCGCCACGGCCACCTCGCCGCCCTCAGCCCCGCGCGGCCCTAAAGGTCACCCCTGGGCCTGCCGCACAGGTCGTGGTCACGGGCCCCTTTTACCGACGTGAAAACTGAGGCGGGAAATGGACCAGACTGGAACCGAAGCTGGACTGACCCGGTGCTGAACAGCAGCCGGACACTGCGGACCCGCGTGCCACCTCTTCCGGGCAGACCTCCGCTGGCCTCTGCCCCATGGTGTCCCCAAGTCACCTCCGTCACACCAATCTGCTCATCGCCACCTCCTGCACCTCCTGTTTTGTTCGCCGCCCATCCTCCGCATCCTCATTTGGGACACGAACCCCATCCTGAGGTCCTCTTCCTGCCTGGAGACGCCCTGTCTGTGGGGGATGGGGGTGGCCCCAGACCCAGACCGTCAAAATCACGCGGGAGGAGTCCCCAGCTCTGGGAGCCCGGGCCGGTCATTTCCTGGCAGGCCTCAGTCCCTCCTTCGAGCGTTCCTCAGCGCGGGCCACCTCTCCTCCCCCTGCCCAGTCACCTCCCTGTCCTCGTCTGGCACCTGCGCCTGGCTCAGCCCCCACCTCCCTGGCCTCATCCCTGCACATTCGGACCTCAGGGCCACTGCCCTGGCTGTTCCTGGCTGTTCCCGAGTTCCCCAAGGGCTCCCGGCCCTCCTCCTAATCTCTGCTCGGGTATGGCCTTCCCCTCCGGGACACCTGACGCCCCCATTTAAGTCCCCCATCCCCCCTTTTCTTCTTTTTATTTTTCCCCGCACTCCCTGGAGTGAAGGTCTGGGTGGGACCAGACTCCGCTGTCCCGTCAGCCCTGCTCCTCCCGCACCTCCAGGGCTGAGGCTCTCACGCTAAGAACAAAGGATCCCCAGGTACTTTAGTTTAGTATTTGGGGGGCCCAGCCCGCCTGTCTCCCCCAGTGATCAGTGATCAGTCTTTTTGTAGTCCGAGATGAGGAGGATTGGGAGCTGGCTCCTGGGGGTCCCAGAGGCCCTGTGAGGAGATCAAAGACCACCTAGAGGAGGCTGGGACCCCCACCCCCAAACCTGAGCCCCAGGGCGTGGGGCACTGAGCAGACGCTAATGGAGCAGTGTCCGGCCTCCCAGGCCTCCCAGCCCCAGGGCAGCCTTTCCCCAGCCTGCGCTGGGATCCAGCACCAACAAGCCGGGTCATTTTCTTTTCTGGGATCAGGAAAACCTAGGGGAGCGGGGAGCATTTCAGGAGAGCAGCCTCCCCCTCGCCCAGTTGTCCCTGCAGTTCCTGGTGTGTCCGGCAGAGGGCAGCCGGCCCCACCCCAGCCTCAAAGGGGACGAGGTTTGGGCTGTGTCTAGCGGGGCAAAGGGAGGGGACTTGGCGGAGACCCTCAAGTTCCAGCTAAAAGCCCTTTGGCATCAGACTCCCTGGGACTTGGCCCCCACAGCACCCGCTCCCCCCCAGTTCCTGCCTTTCTAAAAGTCACTGGGGTCACCAG